TTGAGGTACAATTAAGATTGTCTTCAAGAAAATGTCCCCATTTTGGTTACTCCATCACTGGCTGTGCCTCAGTTGGTGGAACTAGCAAGCATGAAGTCCCCGCTTCAGAACCATGTGAAAGCAGGTGCAGTACAATTTTAAAGTGCAGCTCGGTAAGTATAACTAATGTTTACAACTACCGTATCAACCAAGATGGAAAGCATTTCTAGTTGAATTTCCAGAAAGCTCTTCAAGTCCCTTTGGCACGTGTCCTCTCTGCAGACAACACAGAGCGGCTTTCTGAATTTTAGATGAGCTTTGCCTTTGTAAGATTTCATAGAAATGATTGTAAATGGTTCTTTCCCTCACCAGTGTGTTTATGGGGTTCTTCCATGTTGTGACACGTCAACTGACCGTTACTTTATAGTTCTGAGTTGGCTAGACTGTGATAAATAATGGGGGTACCTTGACTAACTTATTCCTTTACCTGTTGATCTGTGCTATGGTCTGAATACGAGATGGCTCCTGATAGATGCAGGTATCGAGTGCTTGGTCCCAGCCACTGGAGTTATTTTGAGTTTAAGTTGAGAAAGTGAGGCCTAGCTGGAGGAACTAGGCCTGGTGGATGAATCCTTGGGTGTATCTTGCCCCACCCCCTTCCTGTATTCCCTTTTTCTTCTTCCTGGCTGCCATGATGTTAACTGTTCTATTCTTCCATTCTATCCTTGCCATGATGGACATGTGAGCCATATGAGCCACAACAGAAATAAAAAGTAACTAACAGTTGGCATTTGTATTGTTTGCAGTCTTAATGTATTGTAACAAAAGCTGACACAGCACGGTGTGTGGGGGTGTGTGGGGGTGTGGGTGTGGGTGTGTGTTTATAGACATGTATTTTCATTTCTCACTTATCTAGGAGTGGGATTGCTTGAGCCATATAAATGTGTTTACCTTTCCATGAAACTGACTAGTGGTTCTCCAAAATGGCTGCACCGATTGCTATTCCTGCTAGAGATACATGAGCACACCAGTCATGTTATATTCCCATCAAGGCTTGACGTTTGTCAGTCTTTCACGTTTTGGCTGTTGTTGTGGGTCTAAAAATAGCATCTTGTGACTTTACTTTCCTATGGACTTCTTCTAAAATGCACTCCTTATCCTTCTAGTATGAACGAGTGCATCCAACTGAGGAAGAGAGTCTACTCCGGGCTGCTTCATGCATTGAATCAACAAACAATTATTAGCTACCTACCACCTCTTAGATTATAAGAGAGAGGAGTGGACAAACACAAACCCTGATGACCCTGAAGACTCAGTATAGAGCAAGCAGGGTGTGAAGGACCCTAGGAAGCGAGTCTGGAATTCAGTTATGATGCTGTGAACAATGGGGAGATAGGGATTGGTAACACTGGAGGGGGATGTGGGAGTGTCTGTCCTTGTCCACCTGTGAGGAGAAGCACGTCTCCAGGAAGACTGTTTCTGCTTCATTTGGTCCTGCCTCCCATTTCCCCTGCTCTGAGCCACTTCTGAGTCTCTCAAGTCCTAGTTTGGGGAAGCTCGATCAGCCTTTTTCTCCCTGCAGCCAACGAGGCAGATCGCTATCCCTGCCCGCTTCTTGGGAACATGTTGTTCTCATTGCTTGTGACTCGTCATCAGAGAAATAGTCTCCGTGCTGCTGGAGTGTTTTAAATGAAAGCGCGAGGGGATGTGGAGCTGGTCATTAATTTTAAGTGTGTCTATTGTTAGTAAATGATGTCACCGCTGAGCTTGCCAAACTGTCACAGCAGTCTGGATGTCTTTCAGGGTTCTGAATGCTGTCTGGGTTCTGTGAGTGACGGTGGAGCTTCGGGTACTGGTTGACAATAATACTGGCTCTTGGATGCAAACATTCTGTCCCCATGACTCAGTCCAACTTCTCCTTTCTAAGGAGGAGGAATGGCAAGATGCTGGCTATTAGTGATGATATAAATGTCAACCTCTGTCCTTCGGAGGCTCCTCAAGTAGGAAGTCATATCCTAGCCATCATGATGTGCCCTATGCCCCGTTGATGATTTTTAATTTTTATTTCATTGCTTGATTCTCCATTAAGGAATGTAGGTTTCTTAAAAACAAAGGCCAGGTGGTTGCACCCCTTATAGCATCCCTTGGACACACTAAAGGTGCGTTGTCTATTGTTTGATGGAGCAGAGCCTGTCCCGCTTTTTTAAAAAGATGGAATAGAGAATGCTCTGGTTAGCTTTCACTGTCAACGTGACATAACCTAGAGTCACCTGAGAAGGGATCCTCAATTGAGGAAATCCCTAGATCAGATTAGCCTATTGACATGTCTGTGAGGGGTTGTCTGATTGTTAATTGACTGTAGGACGGCACAGCCTACTGCAGGCAGCTCCATCCCTAGGCAGGCGGCCCCAGGCTATAGAAGAAATCTAGCTAAGTATAAGCCAACCAGCCAGCCCGCAACTGTACTTCATAGACTATGAAGTGAGTTCCTAAGTGAGAGGTAATGCTGTGTGCAATAGAAAGCAGCCTTCCTTCAAGTTCTTGCCTTGAGTTTGCCTTGCCTTTCCTTCCTGTATACTATGACCTTGAAAGGACCAAGCAGACGCCATAACAGGCTGCTCAGTCTTCTCTCAGAGATCAGGCCTCAATTTCAGTTTCCTGAGACTTGAGCAGCAGTCTCTGGGAGGACCATGAACAAAAGACATAGTCCTTGCAGTAGCTCCCTTTCTGCACATACTCTGACTGCTCAAGGTTCAGCCAGATGTTTACTGACTGGGACCCCCCACCAACTTAGAGCTAGGTGCATGGGTCAATGTGAATGTGCGAGGCCAGCCAGCCTCCACGGCAGCTCAAGGACAGAGCCTGGGCCACTGAGTCAGCCCCCACAGTCAGTACGTGTTAGGTCAGCCAGCCTCCATGGCAGCTAAAGGACAAAGCCTGGAACTTGTCCAGGTCTGCCCCAAAATGATAACTGTAACCCCCAACCAGTAAATTCAAAGGTTACACACCCTCACCCAATCATATGACGCAAAGGCTTGTACCACCCTGCTTGCGGTTTTTCCCTTTAAAAATCCCTCACCCTGAGAGCTCAGGGCCGTTCTCCTCTACCCACTGTGACACGGACCAAGCCCGGGCTTGCTTGTTATCAATAAACCCCTGTGTGTTTTGCATTGGATATTGGCTCTGTGGTGGTCTTGCTTGGGGGTCTCGAGACATGGGCACAACAACCTAGAACTGTGAATTGAATAAATCCTTTCTTCCTCTTAGTTACTTTTGGTTGGAGTGTTTTCTCGCAGTGATATAAAGAAAACTAGAACACAGCCGGGCATTGGTGGCGCACGCCTTTAATCCCAGCACTCGGGAGGCAGAGCCAGGCGGATCTCTGTGAGTTCGAGGCCAGCCTGGGCTACAGAGTGAGTTCCAGGAAAGGCACAAAGCTACACAGAGAAACCTTGTCTCCAGAAAAAAAAAAAAGAAAACTAGAACACAAAATAAGAGAATTCTGTTACTAGAATCATCTGGTAAAACCTTCTGTAACGTGTCATATACAAAGATCATTACATAGATCACCATAACTTCAAGTAATTAATTTCCCCACAAGGGTCAGAAAAACAGATTCTTGGTGTAGAATAATTTACTGAAGAACTGAAAAGGAGATTGGTTGGTTGGTTGGTTGGTTTGTTTGTTTGTTTGTTTGTTTGTTTGTTTGTTTTTATCCTTGGGCTAATTGAGATTTGAGCCACTGGGGAAAGTATTTTGTGGCAAGCATTTCTAGGTTTTTAGGACAGAGGTGTTTAGTTTTGGGGGGGGTTGTTTGTTTGTTTGTTTGTTTGTTTTGCAGTGATGGAGATGATTCCTAGTACCCTGTTCATGCTAAGCACTTATTCCACCATGGAGCTATAGGCTCAGCCCCTTCTTGATATACTGACTGGGGGAGGGGCGACATGGTGGCACAGACTTGTAATTCCAGCACTTGGGAGGCTAAGGCAAGACAAGCCTTGCCCACATAAGAAGTTTAAGGTCTGGCCTGACAATGGTGGTGCACGCCTTTAATCCCAGCACTCGGGAGGCAGAGGCAGGTGGATCTCTGTGAGTTCGAGGCCAGCCTGGTCTCCAAAGCTACACAGAGAAACCCTGTCTTGAAAAAACTCAAACAAACAAAAAAGAAGTTTAAGGCTAACCTACATATATGAGACCCTGTTATACACACACACACACACACACACACACACACACACACACACACACACACACACACAGTTTGAAAAAATTAAAATATTTAAACATCTATAATGATACAGTTCCATTCCCCCGCCCCTTTAGGACGATTTTTTTTCCCAAGAGATTTTTGTTTTTCACTAAGTGAGTTTAAAATATGGAACATTTTTTAAAGACTTAGACTCACTATGTAGCCCTAGAACTCAGTGTGTAGCCCAGGCTGGCCTCAAACTCACAGAGATCCCCCTGCCTTTAGTGCTGAGACTAAAGGCTTGAACCACAACACCCACCTTGAGTTTAAAATAGTGTGTCTAGGCCGGGCGGTGGTGGCGCACGCCTTTAATCCCAGCACTCGGGAGGCAGAGCCAGGCGGATCTCTGTGAGTTCGAGGCCAGCCTGGGCTACCAAGTGAGTTCCAGGACAGGCGCAAAGCTACACAGAGAAACCCTGTCTTGAAAAAAAAAAATAGTGTGTCTAGAAAATAACTGGTTTGGGGGTTATAACACTAATAAATTCACATCCAAAACACAAAATATATAAGAATATTATTTTTTAGAGAGAACCCTATTTCACATTTGACTCAGGAGTTTTGTTTATAAACAAATCAAGGGAGAAAACAACCCACCACACACTGTTTTCCCATTTTCTAGCCCTGCCCCACAGTCACACAGCAGGGAAATGCGATCAGACAGAGCACCCAGCTCCAGCTGGGACTGAAGCCACTGGAGCCCCTACTCTGCAGGCAGAAGCCCAGTGACTCTTGCCTACCTTCCCATCCCGGCGCCACTGGCAGCAGGACTCACCATGAAGAAGCAGGATCAGCATCCCTCGGCCTTCTTGCACCTGGCGGCTTAGCACCGTTCAGCTGTAGGATCCCTACCTAAGGGGAGTAAGAGCAGGTCACCAGGTCATAGGTAACCCAAGAGGGGTCGCTTGGGAACCCTGCCCGCTCCTCAAGCTTCCTTGGCTATGCCCAGCCATTTTCCCTTCTTTGCGCTCATTCCTCCCCACAAGCTTCCAGTGTTAGGCTAAGAGGAACCCGTGAGAAAAGCCTGTCAGAAGCTCGCCCCAATTTCACCGCATCCATCCATTTGGAAACTCTTCATCAAGCGAAGGCCGGACAGCAACTCGGGATCCAGCAAGAAAATAGATGGTGGAAAGCCTCTGCGGAGAATCCTTAATGGCCCATCCGAAATGCTACTTACCATCCTGGGGGGCTGCCCACAGCGTCCCCAGCCCCTCCATCGCCCAAGAAATGTTGCAATAAGAAATAAAGGCTGGAGCTGGGGGCACACCAGCGAAGAGCAAGGCTGTGCGAGCAGGTTTGATTGCCTTTTTTTTCCCCCTTTCTTTCTGGAGATATAGTGGCTGGAAAATCCTCTGTATCAGATGAGGATTAGCAGAGATGAGAAAACGTGTCTGCCTTTTGAATCGCCAAAGCCAATGACAGATTTTGCTGACACACCAATCAGTTTTATCCCCAAGCCTTGGTCACCCAAGCCTTCCTGCCCTCTCCATCTGCCAGGCCCCTTTTGTTCCTTAAACCCTTGCCACATTCTGCCGAGTTCCCTGACCCCAGCCCTTGCCCCACCCACCAACAATAAGCAGTCAGAAATTGGCTTCCTGCTCCCAAATGGTATTATCAGTCTTTTCAACAGGGTCACATTATGTAACTTAGAGGGCTGGAGCAGAGACCCAGCAGTTTAACCTAACAGTTAAACAACTTGCCCAAATTGCCGACTGCTGTTTTCATCTGTTCGGAGAGGTGGCTGATCCCCAAACAGAAGGTGGCAGAGGCCCTTCCAAGCAGGCAAGAGGCTTTGGTGTTGAGGCTAACAGCCATGCTTGGCCTAAGGCCATTAAGTCCAGTGTCATGTTCAGAATCCAGCTGAGGTTTTACAAACGCGCCAGGCCGGGATGTAAGCTCTTGCTGCTCAGTTTAGTGTGTGGATGCGGCAGAGGGCACAGCTGCAGAAGCGCCTGGGAGCTGGTTAGGAATCCAGACACTCAGTCGCCCCGCCCCCCACCCCAGATCCTCTGATCCCGGCATTTTAACAAGAGAGTGTGGGAGATTCCTCTGCCTGTAAGGTTTTTGGAGACTGATTCGCATAGAGACGGCAGGAGCATGTTTCTCTGGCCCTCAGCCACAGTTGTCCTACATGCTCCTGGTCCCAGCAGCTCCTCCAAGGCTCCCTTGTGAGACATCAGTCCCAGGTATCCATGAAAACATGCTCAATTCTGGCTCTGCTGAGAAGAAACTTGACGTTCTCTTCCCATAATGAGGGCTCTGGGTGTGAATTCAGCCATCCTAGGCCACTGTCCCCTGGGAAATTATTGTTTTCTTACACTTGGACCTTGAAAGCCAAAGCCAAAATATGACTGAATTGGTCTAACCTCTGATATGAAGGAACTAATGGGAATGGGGTAGATGGAAGTAATGTAAGTGAAGGGAGCATCTTCCCCATGGCAGATGAAGTCCCTAGGTTAAGTTGGAGAGGTTGACATAGTCTTTGTAACCACCAGTGTTAGACATACCTTCGTGGAGCAGGGGAGTAGAGCTGCCAGTGAGGTCCAAGGCCTAACACAAGTGTTGCAAAATTAGCATTACAGAAAAACACACTGGTAAACAAAGTCTCCAACCCTGGAACCACCCTGCTCCCCTCCACCACCACCACCATCACCCCCCCACCCCACCCCCACACACACACACAGCCAAGAGCCCTGCTGGAAATGCCTGGAGCCAGAGGAGCAGGCAAAGTGTCTGAAGATGCTAACAAGACAGGTGATCCATTAAGTTGTGTGTGGAACCACATGCAACAGCGCTCAGGCAAGAAAGTCCATGCTGTACGAATAAGCTCCAAAGCCCACATGTAACGTAAAAGCCTCATCCTTGTACAGGGTTTGCCATTTGTACTTCTAAACTTCCTCCTGCTCTAGCTTCCTCCCTCGAAAGTGTCTTTTTCTTTTTTAAAAAAAAGATTTCTTTTTTGTATCATTTTTAGTTCTGTGTAGGTGGATGTGTCTGCATATGGGTATGTATGTGCATGTGAGTGCAGCTGCCTGAGGAGGCCAGAGGCATCTGTTCCCCTGGAGCTGGGTTACAGGTGGTTGGGAGACGCCTGGCATGGGTGCCAAAGACCCACCTCCAGTCCTCTGGAAGAGCAGCAAGTGCTCTTGACCTGAACTGCTGAGGCATCTCGCCGGCTCCCAAGTGTCCCTTGTCGGATAAACCGGCCCTGCTTCTACTATCCATGTAGCTCTGCTATAGCTTGTATTCTGCAGCACAAAGCCTGGAACCCCTCTGGAGGAAGCCACCAAACCCTGATGCCCACTGATATCACTGTACCTTCCCTTCAAACATCCCAGTGAGGTCTCCATGCCCTCTCCCTCCCCGCTCCAGGCAGCCAGAGGCTGAAATGTGGCTGTAAAAGTGGGGCTGGTCACACCCGCAGCTCCGGCTGGCAGCTTCTCAAGTCCTGTTTGCCTTCCACCATTGAACCTGTGGCCCAACACGTGCAGCACAGGTCTCCCCGAGGAATACCTGTCCACCTGGGAAACTGCTCCTCCCCAGTGGACAGGGAAGGCGACGGTGAGGAACAAGTAGCCCTTGTCTGTCACCAATGATGGAGCAGCCTAACTCCATCTTAAGATTAGAAGCCATCTTCTTCCGAGGTCAAAATAAGTTCATTCCTGTTTCCCATAAAACTTAAGTTTAACCGTGTCTTGACCCATTTTCTGGAATTTGACATGTTCCATACTCTATACCCTGACTTCCACATGTAACCAAACAAACCCCAGCCCTTGGAAACCTCCTGGTCATGCAGGGTTTTTTAAGCTATATAAACCCACTGTCTCCTGTGTTCATAGCTGTGTCTAAACCCTGCTCTAGGGAGACAGCCCTGTCTGAAAGAAAATAAAGCTTGCTTAATTAGACTACAAGAATTTGGGGATGGTCTTTACTCTTGTTTAGTGGCATTAACACTATCTGTAGTGAACAGACATATGTTCACACACACACACAGGGAAGTCACACAACACTTTGTCTTCATTTTTAAAAATGCAGAAGGCCCTTTGTATTCCTTTCTGGCTTTAGGTCATGGTACACTTGGCGGCAGGAAGGAGGAAGAGTGTGGTGAGTGAAAATGTGAAGGAGAGGTGGTTCAGACCCGTTTTCGCCTTTGCAAGTCTTCTAACGGAAGCTTCCTCGTCGGAGGAGAGTGGCTAGTGTTTCTGCGGTATCTCTGCCCATTGGTTTAGAATTGACCCCAACTGAAGGAAAATATAAGCCTCCTCCTTTGCAGGCCTTTGCAGTGTGATGGGATCTTTCACAGTACAGTTATGCATCACCCATGGACCTCAGATGCCAACCACTTATGGTCATCAGAGATTGACCTGGGACAGTAGCCCCAAGTTCGTTGTCACGTGCCAAAGAATACTAACGACACAGACTCTTGTGAGGACCTGCAAAGCAGAGGCAGGCTTTGTTCTGAATTATTACGGAAGAATGAGAAACTGAGGAAAAGGGAAAAATTAAGGAAAGTGAGAGAAACTCCTGAGAATCGGGCGAGGCTTACAGGACAGGGGTAATCTGTTGAGTTCCTCTTGTCTAGAGTTTCTATAGGGCAATGGCGGAAACTGGAGAAAGACTAAGGAAATCCCTCCTGAGGCTGATTAATTCTCTGGGCTAGTATGAGCTGAACCAAGGAAGGGCCCACATGCTCCATGCCTGCTGCCCTGGCCCAACCAGGGAGTCAGTCCTAGGCTATTTATGTACTACCCACCTAGTTGGGGGTAGCTGAAGCCCCTCTCTACCCATCGCTGACTCCAGTTTTGACCTCGACTGTCTACTAGTTGTTGTTACAGGAATTCTGTTATGTCCTGGTCCGTTATCCAATTGAATAGAGCGTTTGGTTCAAGAGGCAGAGTTCACATTCTGCTGGCCAGAATGCATCAATGAGTCCTTGATGGACCCAGGACGAGAGAAAGCGTGGCTACTGGGAGACTAGGTGGGGCTGGAATGTTGCACACTCTTTTTTGGAGTCAGAAGACAAATCTGGCAGGTGTATCTCGGCCATAGTGACTGTATCAGGTTCTTATACTTGTCCCTGAGTTTTATAAAATAATAAACAGTAAAAGAAATCTTATCATCTTAGTCATTTGGCCAGCGTTCTAGTTTCATTCTGTTGCTGTGACAAATGCCATGACCAAAAGCAACTTAAGGGAGGAAAGGATTTACTTACACTTCCAAAGCACCGTTCATCATTGAGAGATGTCAGGGCATTGCCTCAAGCAGGGATTGGAAGCAGAAACCATGGAGGACTGATGTTTGCTGGCTTGCTCACAGGCTCATGTTTAGCTAACTTTCTTGTACAGCCCAGAACCACTTGCCCAGAGAGTGGTGCTGATGTGGGAGGACCCAGCCCACTATGGGCAGCACCATTCCCTGGGCAAATGGTTCTAGTCTGTATAAGAAAGCTAGCTAAGCATGAACCTGTCAGGGGCATGATCAACTTGTAGCTTTAGCATGGCAGAGCATTAACTCTATCAGGTACCAAGATACAGCTGCAGTCTTTCTTAGTTACCTCATATTTAGCTCCTTGTCTATGCAGTGGTCTGGGGTGGTCTCCCAGGTAGAAGCTTCTTATTAGAAGCCACCTTTGCTAGCATTAAACCTATTCATTAGAAGCAAGAATATGTGAAAGGACAGTAGTGTTTCCAGTGTGTCACTGGAGGGCTTTGGAGGGGGCAGGGCAGCCTGAGGTCACTGGATCAGAACCCTGTCCTTCCTCTCATCAGTCTAGCTTGGTTATCTCCTACCCAACTATAAGCCCTCTTATTCATCCTGCTCAGTATCTCAGATGCTAACATTTTAACCCCTAATTTTCCCTTTAATTCCAGCCTCTTTGCTTGACGCAACCTATGTGAGCAAGTTACAACCCTCACCATGGCCCCTTTTCCCGCACTACCTATAGAACGTTATCGCCTATCTTACGTTCACGCCTCAGAGGTTCGGGGAGTCTCCTTGGTAGCTCTTAGGTACTGAGCCACGTTCTAGTTCTTTACCTAAAACCTCACTTCACGTGCATACACACATCCCATAGAGACTAGACTATTTCGAAGGGCTACTGCATGTGTGCCTGGCATGTGTAGCCTCACTTGTAGAGAGGCAGAGGCCTGGAAGGGAAAGAAGTCTTGGCCTGAGCCCACCCCTTTATATATGGATGCCAAGACTCTAGCATGAAATGTTTGTTCTCTGTCTCTCGTTCCTTCAGAAGCAGATCCCAAGACAAGGACACAGATGGAATTACTTTGTTGGGGAGGTGATTGACAGAAGCTGCACAGGGGAGCAGCGAGGGTGGAAATAAAGCTCTGTTGTCAGGCACCAAGAGCCACTGACTGCAGCCTCCCCTGCCCGGCACACACCTGAGTTCTCTCAGCTGCAGGGCGAGAAGCTTGGGCATTCATCTACCGGCTCCTTCATGGATGACTGCTCCCAGGGGAGATGAGGGACTGTTTATTTGCTAGCCATCTTGAGCTATGTGTCAACATGATGTAGACATTCTGCTTCCTAAAGGCAGCTTCTGTTGGGCGTGCACTCAAGAGCCTGAGGCAGGAGGATTGCAAGCTCGGATTTAGTCCGGGCTCTGGGCTACGTAGCAAGTCCAGGGTAGCCTCAGCTACATAGTGGGAGTTTGTCTCACAAAACAAACATGCAAAAGAAAAGAGCTGCTTTTAGTGCCGTCTTGGCAGGGTGGGAAGTTTGTGCAGAATTCTGTATGAAAGCTTTGAGTAGCTCTCACCTTGAAACTAGTGAAGTCTGGCATGGTGGTGATCATCTACAATCCCAGCATTCAGGAATTCAAGGCCATCCTTGGCTACCTAGGAAGTTGGAGGCCAGCCTGGGCTACATGAGATCATCTCAGAGTGAGAGAAAGAGAGGGGGGGGGGGGTGATGGTGCACTCCTTTTTAATCCCAGCACTCAGGAGCCTG